CGGTCGTGTGCCGTCCATTTGTAGCTTCATTTGCCTAGCTTTTCCACCACAATCGGTGCCGTAACGACAACAACAATGCCATTTGTAATTAGGAAGGTGGGACTGTGCGAAGAGGTTGCACGTGCCACCATCATCGCCGTCGCCGTCGTCACCGTTGGAGGTTGCGAAAATGATATTCATAACCTCACATTTTTCAACACCCCGCCGCTAGAAGCTGGCGACTTCATAATAGGAAAAGGTTACGGTGGTGGTGAGTAAACAAAACACACAACACTGTTAGCTTTCAACCCCTTGCTTTTACGCGATGAATGAAGCTCTCAGCGAGCGAGTGTAAATGAGCAAATATCCTGTGACAGTAGTTACGGCAAGAAGGGGTCGAATTGTGCTGTTTTAATCTAGAACCGAAACAGCCCAGAGCTAAGTTGATTATTCACACCGCTAATCTTGATTATTATTTTTTTTGAGATCCTACTCCGACGTCTGAAAATTCAATTACTACTCAAAGCCAAACAACGGGAAATGCCAAACGCGATTCAACACGCGTATCAAATTAGAAACAAGAGCGAGTGTCAAATGTCAAACAGTGAAGATGCTCAAATGTCAGACGCATACACTGCTTACAAACCCCGATACCGGAAGAGAAAATTAAGGTCAAATGATGCTTCCTCCCCGTCTCCGTCGTACACATTTTAAGGTTATGATAGAACTATCACCTCTAATGTGTCCATAACCATAATAGAAAACGGTAAAATTATTATTAAATCGAAAGGATACACGGTTATTGCTACCGACTGGGGGGTAAAGGACATTAATATGTAAATTTCACACCCTCACGCGGTGACTGTTGTTGGCAGAATCACGGCTTGAATTAAATTTGGCACGGCCTTGGCTTCACTCTCCCCCTCCCCTCTCCCGTCAATTTGCAGAGAGAAAACGGATCTTTATGGCAGGAAAGGTCATCCAGAAGATTAGTTTACGATAAGCTGTAAACAAAGCCGTTCCGGGCTTCGTCGTCGTCGTCCTTTGGAACGACTTTCCACAGGACAAGATTAGGAAAAGTGGGTGAGAGTGTATGCAAACAGCTACTTGGGTTGCATACAAACAGTTTAATTTATTAGTTTTAACTATCGCTCGGTTGGTCGTTTGGTGTGGTGGTCCATGCTTGTCCGAGGATGGATGAAACAACGAACGGAGGTGGGTCATAGGATAACATTTTAAAACTTTCACGTTTGTTCCTTGGTGAGATCGGTTCCGCTCAGGAAGGATTCTGGTAAGGTCTTGGTAAAATGTTGGGAAAGCCAACAAATTGGTGTATCTGTCGGGAGATAAAGTTGGATTCAATTTATTGTTACGGCGTTATTGTGCATTCTAATTGCGCACCTTTGGGTCGGTAGGGCGGGAAGTTTTACCCGCAGTACGGTTGATTTTGTGTTAAAGTTTAGGACAGATTTGCATAAACATTGTCAGTTGATCTTTAGGAGAGCAAATATGTTTATCAAAGTTGAAAATCAAGCATTTGCGCTGTTTGATTGACGATTGAGTGTTCAGGAAAAAGAGCCTTGTACAAAAATCTCCTCATTCGATGGGAAATACTCAATTACAATTGTCTTGTGAATTTAGTAGATAGTGTGATGCGTCTTTCATCGGTCACTAGGCCGAAAACTATGAGGTCGAATGGGTGCGAGCTTGATGTTTATATAGAATGCTTTTATTCGTACAAGTGCACGATAGCCCATAATCACTGGCGTTTAGAAAAGATGGAAGTGAACGATTGAATTAAATCGGGAATGTACGAATTCATTTACTGAATACAATTTGACAGGAAAGCTGTTCCTTCTGTACGTTACTATTATGCTGTGTAGTAAAAGGAATTGAGCTCTCCAAGCAGAATCTCACGAACCCTAATGCAGCGTATAAATTCATACACGCAAACCAAACATCTATTACAATGAATGTTAGTTCCATTTCCTATCATCCTCTGTTCATGAAAATCGCAGCGAATGTTAGAAGTTGACCTTACAGGCGATGTAATGGTTTTTTGCCTTTTTTATTTCGTGTTCTGTCTGTGCTTTCACCTACACAAGCAAGCATTTGCCTTGATTTTTATGTATAACATGGTAGAACGACGCACACCCTTGCCGCAAATCTCTCCAGCAGAAAAAGCATACGAAGTCGAGTGTGAGAGGAAAGGAACGCTTCTTGTTTGCTTTTAGGCTATCCTTATTCAGAAGCATGGAGAGAGCAGTGGAGAAAGCACAGGTCTGATAATCACAACGTTCGTGGTTCGAGTCCAGTCGGCAACCTTTTTCCTATTTTTTTTCGGCATAATAAATTTACCTCACTAATACACTTTACATTTTTCGGTCTCCAATTTTCTTGCATTGGACCGCAGCTAGGTATATCGCATCCTCGGTTCATGCGGTCTCCACTTACATCCTCTGATGATGAATCCCACATAATTGTAAGCGAATCTTACATCCACCAGTTGGGTGTAGGATTTTGACAGTTCTCACAGCAATACATATGCAATTTTTCTACAATACATATGGAGAAGATGGAGAAGATTATGCCGCAGAGTTTTTGTTAGCACCGGGATGTCGTACGGAACTGGAGTGAAGTGAAATTCCTTGAAATTTAACGTAGTTCCCAAAAACTTCGTTTAATTTTAAAATAGTTTCCATATGTTCATGAATATTTGAGGATGATTGGGGCTTTCCAGACGTTTAAAGATATTCATAAATCTTCGTAAAATTAAGAAAGATTGGGAAAAAATGGAATAAATTCAGTAAAAATTAAACGTGGACATTTTTTAAACTTAAGAGAGTTTTGTAGATGTTCAGGGAACGTTGCATAAGTTACAGGATATTATTTCAGACATCCTCCCTAGATTACAGAAAAAGATCACCAGATTGACAAAGTATACGTTATAATTAAGATAAGACAAAGTAGACGTTATAATTAATCAAAAATCAAATGACTGGCTTAATGGAGCGTCCCGTATTCGGAGTATTACGGTATCTTGATAATTTTCCTAAGTCCTAAATGTATGACATTTATTATATGTACAAGTCCAAGCCTTTAATTTCGGCACCTATGTCAGAGATTTAACTGATGATCAAGATCTCAACAAGACAAAACAACATCCATGGAATTATTTAACTCTGGTGTAATGAGAATTTTCTTACGCTTGAAATCCTCAAAGTTCCGGACAAAAAGCATGAACGAACGATCATTGCTTGTTCAAGATCAGTAAACTTTTAAGGCTCCTCCAATCGAGGTCTCAAGCGTTGTAATGAAATAAATATAATCAAATTTAAACCATTACAATAATAGTAAGCCTCATCATAATAGGTCATATTATTTATCGCAGTGGAAATATACCAAACAGGGAAATAAAATAACAAGTTCCCTTGACGCTTTTTGATTGGATAGCATTTTCAGGAGTTTCTATCCAACCGTAGTTTAAACAAACAAAAAATGCAACCTAGGACTCCTCCAGATAAATTTTCTAGCTACGCCAATGGTAAGTAGGCACGGTGAAAAAAAAGTATACAACGGCCAGTTCACTTTTACCTACTTTTGACTAGTTTGTCTCCTTTTCTTCTTCTAATGTTGTCAAAAACGGAGGAGCTAAACCCAACAGGGGTTGTAAAGTGTGGGAACCCAACGTTGAGTATAATCATATATACCTACTTTTGAAAGCTAGTGGAAAATTTCATGCGAATTACACACATGTAAATGAAAACTACTTTAACCCGCTTTAGGGGCTGTTCATTAACGTAGACGGTTTTTTGGATTCTTGACCCCCCTCCCCTGCGTAGACAATTGACCATACCAAATTTTTAAAATTTGCATGGGCCGTGGATGGCCCCCCCTAAATTGTATACGTAGTTTATGAACAGCTCCTTACCTAATTTTTAGTTCTTGCACTATAGTGTCCAGATGAGTGAAAAGAACTTACTTTTTAGAACTTTTTTCTTACCGTATGGGAGACAGATCTAAACTTGAAAAATATGAACGTCACATCGAGGCAAACTCAAATTGTCACGGAATGTCATCAGATATACCGATTTATCGGTATTTGTACCGATTTTCGAACTTGATATCGATATGCAGATAAGGTCCCTCAGAATACCAATTTTATACCGTTTTTTAAATCAAAATGATTATTACCTGTCGGAGAAAACTATTGTGAGAAACTTTTATAATTTTGAATTTGCCAAATTTTTTGAGCCTTCGAAAAGGCTCAACAAATTATTCATCATTAAAAAATACGTTTGCATTTCACTCTTGCAACTAGGGTTTCCATTTCTTCACCGTTTTCTCACGGATTTCTCAGTCTTAAATACTCTAATGACTACGATGTAATCTGCCCGACGTGGCCAACGAAACCAATATCCTGAACACGAGTAACCAAAATATTGGCAAAATATTTGAAGATATGTTTCAATCGCACCAATTTGATGTGTTTTGATGTGTTGCATGCATTCTTATGAAAAAGTTTATTCAGGCCGGCAGAACCGGTATCCGGAACATCCGGGCTAGGTCAGTGGCCACTAGTTACCAGAATATTGGAAGAATCTTATGAGAAAGTTGATTATGACCACTGGAACCAGTAACATCCGGATTGGGTCACTCTGGCAAAATATTTGGAGAATCATTTCATACGCATCAATTTGATGTGGTTTGTATGGTCAACATTTGATGTGTTGCATGAATCCTTATGAAAAAGTAGAATCTGGCCAGCGGAACCGATATCCAGAACATCCGGGTTAGGTCACACGAAGCAAGAAACCATCAATTGTCCTCAGTATTGATTTCACTATATTGATGCATCTAGCCCAAGTAACAATTTTGGTTTTATGAGGGTTCTGTAGACCATGATTTAGACTTATAGAACGCTATAAAACCTCTATAAAGCTTGCAATGTTACTTGGGAGGTTCCATTTCATAAAAGATTTGCGATATTTGATGAGTGACCAACATAGCGGCCCTGTTGTGGCCAAATCATAATAATCATACTATGCCAAATAATTTGACTACAATAACTTATAGGTTTGATTACGAGAACTTTGTTCAAATTTACCGTTACCCGTTAAAACCATATTCGTTGCAAAATGTTAACGCCCAACCAAGGTTAAAAGAAAGAGTAATATCATAAATCATTAAATGTTGATGAAAAAATTTTGGGCAGTTTCTAAAAGTATGAAAAATAGATTTAAAACGTTCAAATACCGGGAAAAAATTCAAGAACAATACATTTCGAAAGATTCGGGTAGATTATATCGTAGTTGTAGAGTGTTTAAGACTGAGAAAGCCGTTAAACTAAGCAATTCTCCTCAAATGCCAGTCGTCACCATCAGAAAGTTATTTCGACTTCCCTTGGAAGCTTCTTTTGGCATCGCTCGAAAGGTTCTTCCGTCTTCTCTCGCCAGTTTTTCAATTTCCCCCCTAATATCGTGCCAATTTTCACTGAAACATTCTTTAGACATCCCCCAGATATCTCTTTCTTCCGATTTTTTCCCCAACTTCTCCTAGAAGGTTATTTTGACTGTCTTGAAAACCGTCTGGCTTCCACCGGAAGAGGCTTTTTTTTTAAATTCCCTAGGAAGTTTCATTCAGCGTCTTCAGGAAGTTTCTTCTGTCTTCTCCAGGAAGTTTCTTTAAACTTTTACCGGAAGTATCATCGAATAATCCCAGAAGTTTTTTTTTAATTTTCATCTGGAAGTTTCTCCATGAGCTTCTTCCGGAGGTTTTTTCAACTTCTATTGGAAGTTTTTTCCAAGCTTCTCATAGCTTCCCTGGAAATGGCAGATGACACGTTGTTTTCTTTAAATCTTCCCTAGAAGATTTTCAATATTTTGCATTGAAGTTCCCCGGATGGTTTTACTACTTTTCTTCAAACTTCCTCCAAAAGAACTTCTTTCTTATTTTCCTAGTATTTGATCGGTTTGCTTCAAAAGCTAATTAAAACATTCACCGAAAATTTATTCCGACTCTCCTGGAATGGCTGTTCGTAGTCCAATACTTTAAATTTGCGCCTTCAAAAACGGCAAAATATAAAATTAATTAAAATTCTATATATCAATAAATACCGATTTTTAAAAACATTTGAAACCGATAAGCTTGAAACAATCTGACAACACTTGCACTAGCCGAACCGATGATGCTTTTCTTATAGTCGAACAAGAATGCAGAATGTGGTATTATTATCTTCCGTAAAGTATTTATTCATAGAACAAACCATATGTTTACTTCGATACATATTGAAAGATTCCATTCATCAAGGTTTTTGCCGAAATCTTTAGAGGCACAATAAAATGCAAATCAGAAAGGCACATTTTCCCACTACACAATGCACAACGTCAAACAATCCTTACACACCAAAAGAAAAAGAGCCAAATTTTCAACGCCTATTTTCATTTATATTCAAATGCAATCATTTTCTTGGCAAGAAGGACAAACTATAAAATGAAATTAGTGTGCGTTATTTTTGTCTCCCTCCCAGCTCTAATTCAGTCACATTCTCGCGTTGCCACTTGCTAACCCACGTTTTGAACGACACGACTCTCGACGGGGAAACCCATCCAATTGGTCAGTTGGGTGGACAGTTTAATTGTAATTTAATTCATTTGCCCAATGAAAAGGTTAATTATCATTTAAATATTTGTTCAAACATCGTTAGCAACGTACATAGGGTATCTTCTTGCACTATGGTGTGTCGTCAATACATATGACATCAACTGTTTTGCAACAACAACAACAACTACAAAAAGCCAGCATGCATAACTGGGCTGACAAACTTTTACCAGTTGTGTCATCATGACGTCCGCGAATCGATTGTCAAATGTATAACCCTGCAAAATTTCGTAATTGTTTATATTGCATTTTCGGAATGCTCTATGCCAACGAAGGCTTTCTCGTTCAAGCAGAATCGAAGAAGCTTGAAGCAGCAGCAGTAACTTGCGGATGGAATTGCATGCCTATAAAATTGTGAAAATAGGTGCGAAAGGTCGAGTCGGGATCAGTGCAAAGAGACGGACAGACGGCCCTACCTACCTGGCGTGGAGGCAGAAGGAGACGTGTGAGTATTATCGCAATAAAACATAATCATCATAATAATCGTAAAAGGCGAAATTATTAATACAGTAAATTTTAGCAAGCCTATAAAGCTGGCGATTTTACTGCGTTGAAGCCTTTTGCGCAAGTTTGCTTATTGTATGCGAATTGAGGACAAAAACAACGCTCTCGTGGCAGCTATTAACTGTCAAATTCAATTAGAGCTGGACAAAGATTGAATTTTTATTGCATTTTTACCGTAGGGGTTTTCTACGACACCGCGGCGAGAGGGATCAGGCAGAAATTTCTGTGAAAGTGTCATTTTGAGCGATATCTGGCCGCGACGATTTCCCAAGCACGTTTTTGGTTACCTCGCTTCGGTAAGGTTATGTCGACGGCTCCTTGATGTACCTAGTAGGTATACGGCTGCCAGAGATCCCGAGAGCAGCGCTGATGAAGATGGAAATTTCGCGCGCGCGAGACATGAATTCATGTTCCGTGTCTGTTTTGTTTCTACTTGGTTTGTGTTTTTTTTTCGGCGTTTCTTTCGTCGAAGCTATCATCATCTTGAGAAGGTAGGCACTGCGGCGTGCATATTGCAGAGCCTTTCCCTCGTTTCGTTTGGCTCAAAGAGTGATGACAACCCCTTTGGAAGGGGGGGGGGGAGGCTTACGGGAGCGAAGAGCGGTAGCGTACGGTGTTTATTTGGAATTTTCGCAGAACATTCCTGGTCGTTTTCTTCTCCGTAGCACGGCGCACGACGAGATTCGCTTCCTGACGATTACGGGTGAAAGGGAAGCAGTACAAGATTTATGCTGCCGAGGAGTAATCAGATTGAGCAATTTGAAGATGTAGCAGACTTAACAACCCGGAATCTAGCAAGCGGAACACGAAATCAACGCGACGACGGTCTAATTTCTTTGCCTGCACTGCAAATGCTCGATTTTTTTTTGGACTGGGACGGGAACGATCCAAGCAGGCTTCGCGTGCGCGATTTTGTACTACAGCCTACTGCCTAGCGTTTCTACCGTGCAATTTTGGCATTTATGCTGATTTTAAAGAAATCTAAACCGAAACCATAAATGCTCTCTTCCTAACTTAGATTGAAACGATTTGTTTTAAATGATTTTTAATTAAACGATTTGGCTGATTTATTCTTCTTGCATTATTTTCATCGACACGCCCACTACAAGCTACATTTAACTAAATATAACGAATAAATTAAATAAATACACCAATAAATAATACGCTACGGTTCTAGTGTTTATCATACAAGCAAATTACAACGTAAACGACTAAAAAAAGGTAACAAGTATTACAACGCTTCAAGTGCTACCAGTCGAACCGTCGTAACACTGACGTTGGTCTAATCTAATCTACCGTCTATTCCAGGGACTGTACGGGGAAAATTTGTACTCGGCACTACCGCTAAGATACTTGGACCCGGAGGTCGCCCCCTGTAGGCTACCGTTCGCGTATGGACTGAAGATACCCCCCGAACCGAAGCCGGCCGTACCAAACGGGGACGAACCGACTCCATACGGGCTGCTGCTGCTCAGATTGACAAAGTCATCCAGCGTTCCGTGGTAGGACCGATTGGGGGTCGCCTGAAAGCTGAACAACGATGTCGGCAGGGGTGGAGTTTTCGATTGAGCACTACTGCCAAAAAGGGCACCCACACCGGCTGCTGTGATTGAGTTACCTGCTGTTACGGAGCAGCCAGATTCACTGGCCAGTAGGTTGTTGTTGGCGGTTTTGAGATCGTTGTTGTTCAATGGAGTCGTCGAGCTACTACTGGAGCTGACGGTGGCTGTTGCTTCACTGGCGGCAGCCGTGGTTGAAGTGATCACCGAGGGTGACGCCAGTGAGGTTGAACCTTTGTTGGTAACTGCCACCGTCAGCGATCCAGATGAGGACGATCCGGAGACGTTGTTGAGCGAGGAGTTCCCGCTACTGCTATTAGTGGTGTTTATGGAAGTGTTTGGTGATATGCTACTATTGTTAGTTGTGTTGTTAGTGGGTAGTTGAGAGGAGAGGTGGTACATTTGCATCTGCACCAGATGGATGACATCGGATTCGGATTGCAGGGTTTGGAGTGTGGAGCTGATTTTAGCAAGCAGTGCGTGGACATCCCCGAAGAGATAGTCCAGCATTTTACCTGTTGTGAATAGGACTATTGCTTTCAGACAGGAATACTCGGCAGAGTCAACGTGTAGTGCCTTCAGCTTCTCGACCTGTTCCTGGAATATCCGGATGTGGTCCATGAAGGCAACTACACGATCGGCGGCCATGGGGGATGCGTGTAGACCGGCGGCTGCCAGTAGGGGTGCCACGTGCAGTGGCATCGAGCATTGGGATGCGTTTAGTACGAACAGTTCTGACCACACGAGCCGCAGTAGCGCGACCTGGTCGGTCACCTGGAGATCCGGAAAGAAGGGTATATTTCGGGCCCATTCAACGGCGGAAAACAGTAACCGCGCCGCCAGTTCACAGATATTGTCGATGCCCATGATGTTGTTCGTCTGCATACACTGCCCGTACCGGGACGTTGGGTATGGTTCCGCCCGGAGCAGTAACGAGATGTAGGAACTAAGATACGAGTGCCCATTGAAACCGGTAACTGAGTCCCCGTTTGGTATCGAGTACTGACCGTAGGGGAGACCCGGCGGTTGTGACGGTGGAACGCGACCTCGTTGTACGGCTGCAAGAAGAAGAAAAAAGCGTAAAAATGAGGTTAGAATGATTGTCACCTTTTGGAGTAGCAGCTTGAAGGATTCTCAGAACAAAAAGACGCAACCGCTTCGCGTCGTGTTGGACTTGATAATCGGTTCATTAGCAATTCACAGCCATGTTGAAAATCGATTAACGCATGCGCGCAAGTGTTTTCTTAGCTCGAGTGTGTGTGTATGTCATTCCGCTGCAGAGCTTGAGCGCGCGATATTGTAATTCGATTTCATTTGTTTAGCCATCGATTTAAATATTCATATTCCGAGGGTGCTCTTTTTCTGCCGTGCTGTCATTTCCACGAGCCACTTGAGGGCCACGTCATGACGGCAAAAAAGAAAAATTGGTTTACCAGAGCTCCGGTGTATTATGTTGTAATTGTTAATCCACTCTGTGGGTCGAAGCTTGCTCAACCACAAAAAAAAAGTCGACTAAGCCTTCATTATTGACGATTACGACGGAGTGAGCTCTGATTACATGGTGTACTTTGAGACCGGAGCTTATCAGTTTGCATGTGGATAGAACGAGAGCTACAAAAAGTGAACAATTGATAAGACGTTAAGGCGGCTATGGTCGCTATCAATGAGCAGCCGCCATGTTGATCCTCGACGAACTTTGACAGAACGGTGGGCAAATAGCGTGAGAATCTGGCATGTAACCAAGGGTCGCAACATCGACGCCACTTCTGCCATCACCGTGGGGATGAGTAATGATGTCAATAAAAATAAAACAAGACTCATTACACTTTTCTCGCGGATGGTTCCTCGGCGCAAAGGGGAAGAAAAATGACAAGACTTTGTAGTTTCGCAAAGTGCCGCCGCCCGAGTGATGGCGTGGCGGCCGCTGGCGGACGGTGGTCAGTGGAGGGTTACAAAGTTTCTCGCTTTTCTCGTCGCTGTTCGAATCTGCCGAGCTGAAGCGAGAGCTGGCGAAATTATGTAAATTGCGCGCGGAAGAGAACATGAAATTAACAGAAGTTAACCGATTACCAGTAGAAGAGAGACGAGATCGAATCCCGCTGGTGTTGGTAGCCGTTTTGTTGTGGTTATGGCACTAAGGCAGCGGCGGCGGTGGTCGCTTGTTTAAAAAGATGTAAAGCTGATGTAATGATGATGAATATATTTAGCGCAAATTGGCCGTCGGCGATATTCGGAAGGAATGGTAATTGAATAAAAATTGAAAAAACCGCAACGCGATCAGATTCTCCAGGTTTCAGGTGGTGGCGAGTGTGGCGGCTTATGGCGGAGTTCGCTTTCGGGCGGCTTGGGTGAGGAAAACATAAATCAGATAATTAAGCTTATTGCTTTTGTTTTCACGGTTTCGCGCAGTTGATGGTGTTGGCCCTCCGGCGGCTAATACTTTATCTGCACCATTCGAGAGCGGCTCGCTTTCTCTCGTCGTCGTTGGCTGTTGATAGTTCTCTGCCGTCGTCGTCGTAATCTCGGTTGTTTCCTATATCTTCGTCAAAATGTGCGTTGTTGAGGGTTCGATTGTTAATGCTGTTTAAAATGAAATAAAATAGTCGATAAATCTTCGATTTTCAACTCTGAGGCGGTTATTTTTGCGAAAGGGAGGAGCGATCACTTGGCGGCGCAATATTTTCCCACAAATCACTGGGCGGCTTACTGCTGCCGCTGGCAGCCATCTCGACAGGCAATCATTTAAGTTATTTAGATTTTTCATATCGCGACCATTGTAGGAATTAACAGAAATTACAGTTTGCTGAAAAAATACACGACAAAAATCACGATAAAAATTTAATATTTTATTCAATTGGTATGGAAATGACACAACGATGGATCTCGCTTTGTCCTTTCGACCAGAAAGGGATAGGAGCTGGTCGAGATAAATGTGTGCAACAACCAACTGCCAACCCGACCGGACTTTGTCCAACATTGTTTCGCTCGTGAAAAACGCTGATTTTTCACCTGCCCGGGCATCGTCAATAGATAAGAGCAGTTTTACATGACTCACCCTTCTTTTTCCCGTTGCGTGAAACTTTTTTTTTTCGGCGTAGAATGATACCACCGTCGATGAAAAAATAATAACGTAAAAAAGTGCTGCTTTATCACGATGAACAGTTCGGACCGGCGGCGTAATGGCCATCAATAATGGCGTCCGTACCGCTTTCAGGAAGCGAAATTCGAGCACAGGAAACAGAGTTTGTAATAACTGAAAAATCCGGCTACAAAAAGTGCGCTCAATTGAAAATGAATAAATTACAATTCCGAGCGACACCATCACAGGTAGCTGCTGATTTAGATAAGGACCATAGCTTTATAAAATATATTTTGTTGACCCACCGATTGACCCCACGGGTGTGACCTTTAGTGGCCACTGTGCGTGCCAAACGGGGTGAATTTAAAACCCTCCGATAGGCAACAGGTGACCAGCTGCCTCGTACGCCACGAGATGGCGTTTGGCGAAACCAGTTTGACAGCTCGTGACGGGCTTGCTCCTGAACCACCGCACCCGCCATTGCGCCGAGGGGTATTTGTTTTTAACATCTTTTTCCCGAGAACTTCCCCGAGCGTTGGGGCACGACAATCACGCCGGCCACAAACGGAACGATATGGTCCATTGCTGCATGCTGCTGTTGCGGCAGTGAACCAGAAAATAATTAATTATTTCTGAGGTCCGGATAAACTCGAAACTCACGAAATAAGCTCCGAGCGAAACAGCTGAAATCTTCATCTCACGGACATCCCCCCGTTCCATCAGAGCAGACCATTCTTTGAGCGAAACATTGGATCCCAGAGAACGCGCGTGGAATCAAGATTCATGTGTTTTATTTTATTTACTTTATGTGGCCCCTTCTTCGATTCCGAACGAGGCGGAATCGGGGAGGCGGAACCCATTCGCCTTTCTTTTAATTTGTTCAAACAAGCACAAACTGATTTCCGAACGACACGAACTTTGGCAGGACTCATGTCAGAACAAATCGGATAACGACGACAATCCGTGGAGCGGTGCGGGTACAGACGGCACAGGTGGCGCCCTCGGGTGCAGCGGTGGCGGAGGAATTCATTAACTTTGACAGCTGCTACGGTCGTCACGACGACGGCGTTCCGGTAGATCACCGACAGACTCCGTTTCGCGAAAAGATTCTAAACCCGCATGGAATGAGCTGCAACAATGTACCCCCAGCAGTCGTAATTGAAGGGTGATGAAAGGTACCGTTTTTTCGCACCTTTCCACATCTTGTTACCGATTCCAATTTGCATCGGAATGACCATCGACGCGATATCATTATCGACCTCCATCGGGAGGAGATTGAATTCGCTCCCATTATCCGGGGTAATAACTTGCAGGATTATTCCCGGCCAGCGCAAAATGATGCAATAATCGGAATCGCACTCCGTACCAGATGAGAGCGGGAACTAACCGCAAACTGATCCATCCCGTAATGGTGATTATGAAATTGATTTTATTTATATCAATTTGGGACCGGGATAACCCCTCGTTGCACGTGTTATAGCCCAGGTCACGGACGTGATTTCAATCAATTCGATCCGGGTCGGATTGGGATTCCTTGCGGTTTTGTCGTTTTTCCTCGTTCATTGACAGTAAAACGATAAGTTTATATCGTTATGTTTTTTTTTCGTTCAAATCAACCCAGATGCAGCTTTTGAACATTACAAACACAGCTCAGTTTCAGGGGAAGACGTCGAAACAAAGGCAAACATTGTAAGAAAACACTAGTCTCATTACAGAGCACGCAAAGATAAGCACAGCTCATTATGCTTAAAAATAGCACAACAGAACCAAAGTACATTAGCTCCATTACGGCATCTTCGTCGTTGTCGCAGACATTATCTTAAAAACCCCTCGGAGCCGGGGCGGTCGACGAAATGGTCCACCTGCGCTACTATTATACAGAACTATACTCTAAATACATGGCCTTGTCGTGTCGTTTGAAAGTCTCTCGGAAATTGCTTTCGTTTTTGGGGTGCGGAGGTGGAAGCAAAGCATTTCCAAGCAAATAAAAGGGAAAAGTTTTCCTTAGCTCAAGCAACATTAAGAAATGTGGCTGCTGCTGCTGCTGCTGATGCTGGATGAGGCTGTTATCAAAGGTGGTGCGTCGTGTTCTTTTATGACTTGCATTTTTCGGTTTGTTCTCAAAGATGACGGTACTAACGTACTTTTGTTCTGAGGGGTGAGTGCCGGTCTTGAAAAATCTGCTTTCATGCTCGATAAAACGGCATTCATAATAACTATAGTAGAGCTGCTCTTAAGGGAATGACTTTTAGGGTGGGTAAATGAGTAACAATATCTTAGATTTGTCAGCAATATTTTGGTTTGTTTCGTGGAATGAGATCCTAATGAGTATCATATTTATCTCATTTGAAATCAATGACAGGTATTTGCATAAGTTTTGAGCTCACCCTTATCTTATATCGATTAGGGAAAATGACGGCTTCGGCATATCTTTACCTATTATCGTCATGTGGGTAAATTAAGTCCTTGAGCGCTGATTTTTTGTAAGGAAATGCTTCAAAGGCCAGAGTATCGTTTTGCAAAAAATAAACACTCTAAGACTTTATTTACCCCCTGACGCTAATAGGTAAAGAAGTGCTGAAACCGTCAATGCCCCTATATCAAAATGAGCAAATTGATATTGTTTTGGAAGAATTGTACACATGGCAATTCCTGACTGGATTAGGTGACAGAAAATTGGAACGAGGGTTCATCAAATGAGTACCAAAAGAGTTTGGTAGAAGGTCGTCCCAGGGGTAAGACGAGCATAGTGAACAGATGAGGCCTAATGAGGTTCAATATCACCATTGCAATGATTATTTACCAATGAATTTGATTCGCACCATAAGAAATTCAAGCCTAAAGCACAGGAAACTCACCTGTTCGCTATGCCCCTCCTTCCCCATACTACCTGATAATGTGACTAGTAAGAATGCAACCATGTGGGTAGTGGAGGTTGGTCTACAACCTAGTAAACTCTTGGAGCTCCACGTGTTTCAAATGATTTTCGGATCAAAACTATCTTGAATGCTCCGGGAAATTTAAAAACACCAATAACTTTTAGACCCCCATAATTCAAAGAACTGGAACTATTCCAAGAACTGTAAGAAGTTCCAGAATTGTGAGAACAAGATGTAACATTTTCGAGTCAAAACACCGTTCATCAAAAAAAATCCTGCATGCTCGGAAAACCAGAAAATTTAAAACCACAAGGAACTGCAAGAACTCTTAATAATCCATGGAATTGTGGAACTTTGGGAAATTTTGGAGCTTCTAAACGTTCAGGAACTCTTGATACATCGGTACCAACAGGGGCTGCGAGTAGGAGGACATGTGAAGCCCGTGGTACTTCATCAAGTGCAAGTTCTCATTGTTTAGAGACGTTACAAATACACCATCCTGATTTGAAACTTCACGGAAGCTTCAGAAGTTTCTGTTGCTTTGAGAGCTCTTTTCAGAAGTGCTAGAACTTTCTGGACTACCTGGAGTTCTTAAGTTATTAAAGTTCCGAATTTACATGCAATTAAGGACGTTTTTTTTTAGTATTGAGAGAACTCCTGGAACTTTCGAAACTGGAGCATAATCTCTTTAATTCATAATTCATGAGATTTTGGTACTCATGTGAACTTGTAAAACATGCCACAGTTCTTAGAACTCAAGGAATTTATTGAGCTCCAGTAACCTTTAGACTCCTGAGAACGCTAAGAACCTTAAAAACATCCATTGAATCTCAGAACTTTAGAATCTTCGCTATGTCACTAGAGTGTTGATGCCATATAACTCTTGGCAACTCGGAGAAGTTCGGCAAAACATAAAATAACCTTCAGCAATACTTAGTTTTGCAATTCTAGATCTCTGAGAACTCCAAGAAATTGGTGAACCAGCTTTTTGACTGAAAACTACTTAAATAGAGCCATTAAAAATAATTTCAAGAAATTCAGAAATGCGAGCAAACTCATGGAAATTCAATAAATCCTAGTTCTCTGACACATTCTAAAATTTCCAGCAAATGTCAGAACTTTAGGTTTTAGAACTCCAAGAAATTCCGCTAATCTGGGAATTTTCAAAACTTCCCCAACTTCAACAACTGTTGAACGCCCGGAATATTAAGAACTAAAAGAGCTGGCAATTGTCCACGACCCAAACAAGTTTCAAAAATTGTGTATGGACAATTGTTTACGCAGGGGGCGGGGGGGGGGGTAAATAATCCCAAAATGCTGTCTACGTAGTTAATGAACAACCCCTTATTTGCTGTATTGTTTTGATTCTGCGTTCAATTTCACAATGTTCCATTACGCTTCTATGATCTGAATGACGTTTGAGTCATTTTTAGTTTGCACGGCGTGCAGATTAGCGGGGTAAAATTAAAAAGTGTTCATATTAAAACCGTTAGATTACCGGGGGTCCGCGGTACGCTGCTATTCCAATTATGTCAGACTATACTCACATCACGCTTTTATCTTCTACTAATTTTACATATCTAGAGATACATGTTAAAATGGCCAATGTGTAAAATGTAAACAATTGCTTCAAACGCCGATTTCTCCCGGATTAAGGCATATTCAAGCAAACTAACAGCAGCATGTGGCAGAGGAAGTTTGTTCCATCAGATGGTGTAGTTAGATTGCGTGGGCGTTCTGTGTTTCGTGCTTAAACGACGTTTAAAATAATTGTTTACATCTGGCACTTAAACAATTTTCACATCTTGCTGGAGATATGTAAATCATCGATATTCCAAATTGTTCACATTCGTCAATAAGACTTTCAGGCATGCTTGGGTGCAATAAAACCACTGACTATGAGCAAATTTTTTTAGGATGAGTATAAAAGATTCTAACAAAGGGAGCTGACAACATCGGGGAAGTATTGAAATTCCTAGAAATTTAGAGAATCCATAATTTTAAGGACGAACAATCCGGATGAATTTTTAAATCTGACAACACTGCCCTGAACTACGGGCGCTTGTGGAGCTCTAATTTCGTACTGTGTCTTAGAAGCTCTGGTATTCTTGAAGCTTCATCAACTCCCGGAATAGTGAAATTTTCTGGTACTTAAGAATTCGAAGAGAATTTTCAAAGAATTTACAACAATACGTTTTAGCTGCAGAACATTTAGGCAACATATTTCTAAGTTAGTAAAAAATATGTTCATTCCGCTTTTAACCAACTGAATTGTTTGTTAGGACATCATTTGCACTATTGTGTTGCAATAGACAGATGCCATTCTAGTAAAAGTATGGACAACTGTCAAAATTCGTTCAAATCGAACTGTCAAAATGCACTGCTTTGTTGGATTTTGACAGTTAAGAGCCACCCACATTAGACCCGTTTGGGTTGCGTTGACGTAAGTTTGACAGTTAAGCATTAGATTTAGCTGTCACTTTGCCGTAACGCGTCAGATCTGGATTTAATTTGGGTTGCCCATTTGAATTATAGATACTATAGATACCATAGATAAGCAGAGGCACAAAAAGTGTTTTGGCAGTTTTATGCCATCAAATAGCTCTTTGTTGTACAGACTGAAGTGCAAAACCATTCTTTGCAATAATCAATCGAGGAATGGTTTGCGTAATATTTGCTTCTTCCATTTCTGCGAAATAAATCGGAATGTGGAGTGTGGAAAGCGTTTTGTGATCTTTCAGCAGACTTCCATCCAACCGGACAGTACCTTAATTGCAGCGTAAGATTGTCGAGTATGGAATGGATCCTTTCGATTTTTTATTACCTCATTTAATTTATTACTCAAGAATCCTGGTAAATGTGGGCGTCTTAGTGGAATACCTGTATAATGAGAGAGAGAGAAGGATTAGTAATTTCCATTTAATTCCACTACCTCATTTGCTTATCCTTGACAGATACGCGTATTTCGTCTACAATGTGCAGACTTCTTCAGTGTCTTGTACTACTAGCCGAGTATTAGTACAAGACACTGAAGAAGTCTGCACATTGTAGACGAAATACGCGTTTCTGTCAAAGATAAGCAAATAAGGTAGTGGAATTAAATGGAAATTACTAATCCTTCTCTCTCTCATTATATTATTATTACTCAAGGTTAAAAATTATAACAAAATAAAAATTTATAATAATTTTGCTCAAAATATTACAATACTTTCTCCATAAAAACACCATGGTGCCGTCATGCTCGTTTGGCTACACTAACTGACAGTTCTTTTGGAACTTTTGTTCAAATATTTGAAATGTTTGTTAAAACGTTTTTCATGTAATTTATTCTTTTAAAATATCTCAAACAATGTTTGAGACATTTTGAATCATTTTCTGTAAATAAAAAAGCTTACTAACAAAAATTTTAAAAATTTTACCAAAAGATCTTGTTCTACTATTCTTGTCAGTTTCAAAGTGTCCATGGGTTTGAACATTCCAAAGATTTGCATTTTCTATGAATTAATTTTTTGAAAAAAAAAAAAAATTTTAACATTCATTTTTAACTTTTACTTTACATAAATAAAAACATTTTTTTGTTTATTTTTTCCCAGAAATTCATTATTTTTCTCTACATCGTGGAGATAGATCGGAAATCGCTTTCAGTAATCTAATTTTTTGAAAAATTTTTTTTTAAAGAACTGAGACTAGACAGATTCTAGTCTTAATGAGGTTTTGTTGGATGCATCAATGGCAAAGGAGCCTTTACCAGGGTTTTATGAATGTTATTATTTTAAAGTAGCTTCATAGTTTTTCATAAAACTTAAAATGTTACTTGCAGTTTTCACACTTTTTGCTTGTTCAACATTTAAAAAAAATACATCAGAATACGTTTTAGGATGGTTTCACATTGTTTGTTTTTTTTTTATATAATCTTACACGGAAAGAAAAATAGTACCTAATTTTGAGTTCTTTTCACCCAGGTTGACAGTTCCATGCGCCAACTCAATTTAGAATTCTAGCGCCTATTCAATTTTGAGTTCTTGTCATTCACTCGCATGTAAACAGGATTATTTACTTTTATGTTGTTTTCATTCAAAGTCAAATTCATACTACTCAAAATTGAGTTTTACACAACTTACTCAATTTTAACTTGGGGCACGGAAGTGTCGAGTTGGGTGAATAGAACTCAATTTTGGGTTGTTTTGTGGGTCGAAATTGGAACAATCAATTCTCTGTCAAAGTCCTGGAAAAACTCATTCCAATTGGCGTTGACGGCACCGTCGAAAAATTTGCTCTTCCAGCAAATTTAGACAGTTTCTTATGGGAATTTTCGGTGGAGTGAAAGGATAGTACAAAGTCCGCCATGTTTCACGCACAGTCTGACGTTTGCTTATGGATTTTCTCATAGTAGTAAAGAGCTACAGAGTCGCCGTCAACGCCAATCGAGCGAACAACTTGTTAAATGGATGTGCTGTCATCTCTTTGTTCCAATCCGTCTTTTTACTACAATATACACTAGAAAAAGTCCCCCCTATTGTATTAATGTGACCTCCCATGCGACACATCATCATTGGGCATCATTTCACATTGAAGTAGTGTCAAAAAATGCGTTGTGTAAACATCAAATACGGTACAATAAATTCAAGTGATAGGATATGATTTACGCTAGCAAGTAAGAGTTTGTGAGTAAGTTTTAGATCCCCCTCCTACATATATAAGAGACCTTCTTCCTTCTAAAATATTAGTGGTCAGTGAACGTATTCAGCTTCTTGGAATTATTTCTCAAAAACAGACTTCTTCCAAGACAAGTTTGAAGATTATTTATTTATTTATTTCAATTTTGATGTTCAAATCAATTGAAAAATTCAATGAGTTTAAATTTCGTCTCCCATCATCTTCACAGTGAGTAAATATTTCATTTTGGGAAAAAGGAAAGAATAGATATCATAGTAAAACATACCTCCTGGAAATGTTGCACATGCATGAGTTCCTCGGCGAGTTCCTCCTGCAACAAACAAACGAGGGGAAGTAGAAAGCCCCCTCCCCCGTTTAGAGTTACTATCGATTGATTAAATTTTTTATTGCAGTTGAAATGAAATGCAGAGGTAATATTGTTTCAGTTCGATTTGGCTAAATGGAACGAATTTTCGATATCTGATTGTTCGTATCTATGATGAGTTCAAATTTTCAAGAGTCGAAGCATCTTGTGACTTGGATTCATGCAATGACTATGTTACTTATACAAAAATAGCTAGGCACGTACATTTTCGTCAACTCCCAACCAGCGTCATGATCTGCGAAACGCCCTCCACATTACTAGTGTGCTAAATTTATTGGCCGTCAGCTAGATAAAAATGATCACCTATTTGTCAATCTCACCAATGTTCGTCGCACATCTGAACAAGTGGAAAAGCGAGTTACGAAAAGCAATGATCCGCAGAGATTTTCCTAGAACTGCACATTGCCAATGCTCCGAAACCGCAACCAGAAGAAACGTTGAGCTGGTGTGAAAATATTATAAATTTAAATTTAATTTGCATAAAATCATTCAAACGGGTTTGCACGTCCCTCGGCTCGTCGTTCCTCCAAAGGATCATCCTCTTGCGAGGAAAACAAACGATATTGTTATTTTTCTTTATTACACCATGGGCTTTATTTATCGTTAGGTAGTAAATATAGCCTTCTTGCCCATGTGGAAACCGTATAAATCGCAATCTGCGCGCCGAGAACCATTGGATTCGACAGTCAATATGTGTGACCGACCAATTGGTTTCCTTCCAAGACCAGGCTTGGCCAGGCGCGGAGGTGGAAATACCTATGCGAGGAGAATGGCTCAATCATAATTATTATTTTCCGGGTTATTGCACATCGTGCTGATTAATGGCTTTCGCCCGGTGGCCCGGTACGGGGTCAATCTAATGAATCTATTTGTTTACACTGCCAATCTACAATTCGCCAGGGGAAATCGAATCGGAAAGATCGATAGTTTTTCCCGGATTGGATTTGTCAGCTCGCAGGAACAAAGTATTTACGCGGCGATGAATTATTTATAAATGTTCACACGGAATTATTTACAATGGTTTCGAAGTCGAAATTTCGCGGAATTGGCGAAACAAAAGCGCGCCTATGGTTGTTTGTGCTCCGCGCACAATGGAACCGCATTTTGCGTGCGCTATGTGTGAAATCCGGCCAACCGAAGGGGGAAGAGCCCGCAAAAATGAAGCCAGCATCGCGGATGAAAAAAGAATATTATAATTTATTTTTAATCTGATACATAATAATGTTAATCTTATAAACTCAACACGATATTTGATACTCTTTGGAGCCTGGTGGTGCTCGGATTACGACACGACACGGCACACGGCTGATTCCTTTCCGTTCGGACTGCAACATATTGTTCGGTGGAATGTTTGTTGGTATTGCGGGGAATCTGGCAGCTCCGAGTTACATTACCACTTTTTTTTCGAAAGACTTTTACCACTTCTTTTTTCGCTTTTGGTATACAACCGCTGCAGTATGCTAGCACCACCAGCACCACTAGCGTGCGCAGGTAAATTCAAAAGGTATTATTTTATTACTTCATTCGAATAGTTCACTTGGACGCTTTAACACTATGAAGTTTAGTTGTACAAAGTTCATTTTACATTAACCTCTATTTTTTGGAACAACGGTAAATGTCGGCTTCGGCGCCCCTTGACTGTTTTTTCATAGAGTTTTTGACATTTCTGTCGATTGGAATGGATGGAGAAGCAAGCAGCAAATAAATGTAAACAAAAAAACACGTCAATATGTGCGTGACGCTGAGAAAATAGAAGCGTGGACACTGCTTAGATTGACGAGAATACGTAAATTTCCCTATGACATTATAGGATATTATAATGATAATTTGTATTTGTACGTTGCAGAAAGAGGATGTAAAGTATGTTTTTGACATATAAAACCTGCTATCAGTTATTTACAATACACGATTTTACGATCGCTGAGCGCACACGATTAGTGAGCACTCAGCAATCATAACATCGCTCATAGTGTCTCTTTGAATGCGAAAAAGACTAATTTTATATATAAAACACGTACTTTGTAACCTACAAGTTGAACGTACAATAACAACAAATTATGATTGCATAATTCCGGGAAAAAATATGCCAAATGAGCAATTGCAACCTTGGTCCAATCTGCAATTTGCAAAATATCCAATCTTCATCGACTTTCTCTTGCAAATGCATTTCGAGCTATATCCGCCTCCTAGTTTGATGAATGTCTTTACATCTGATTCAGTTATGGCATAACCATTAGCAAATTGATATTTTTCCGCTATCATACGCTTTCAATATCACGCGTGATATTGGAGCAAAATATCATGCTTGATATTGATTTTACAAGCTTCTTTTGATATAGCGAGACTATTCGCAACGTGTAAAGTTAAGCTGAGAGTTGAATCGACGCAAAAATGATTCCGTTGCACCTCGTTTTCTCAGAAAGGTACCTATAATAATGCTATCTCTTTTTTCTCTGCACCGATAACAGACACGAAGCTACTGCTGCCAGCCGTTATGGAAGTTTCGGTTGCGTTCGGGTGTAAAGCCAATATCATGAAACTCAATCTCACCACAGGTTGGTGAGATTTACAGCAGCTGAGTTTTGTTAGCTTAATATTCCAAGCTGCGATATCACAGCTTGCAATATCAACTGCAGTTGTTTGCTTGTTGATTTTTATCTACGAAAATCAAGCGTGATCTTGTTCTTTGTTGAGAATTGATTTTTTGATATTTTTCCAACACTGATCTGATCTAATTTATCCTTACTCTTATGGTTTGTAAAAAAAACAATAAAGCATCTATGATAGGTCGTTGCTAATATGTTATAAAGGTCAACAATTAAAACAATTTACTGTCAGATAACTTAAAGACATTATCTAAAATTTTTAATAGATACACTCATTTGTTTGTAAATTTTTAACGTGTTGGTAACAAAATGCTCAAATTTTGCCTGAAACTAGTGTAATGTTATCACCGGCAGAGTTTCATCACAATCGATAAAGTGGTTATAGTGATTGGGTCGGAACAAGTACAAAATCACAACACAAGTTTGTGCACTCACTTCGATAATCCAAACGCGTCACATAGATGGATCGGAAAACAACTCGGAATTCATCATTCAATTGAACCCCAAATCCAGATTGGCCGTTCCTTCCGGAAGAAGCAACTGTCTAAATTGTCCAAACAATTCCTTGTCTGGCAGGCGATCTGTGAATGTGGTAAAATGAGTCAGCCCTTCATCACATCTGGCACAATTAACAGGCAAACTTACAAGGATGAATGCCTCCAGAAGCGCCTCCTGCCCTTCCCGAAGTTCCACGGAGGCCAGACGCTGTTTTAGCAACACGTTGGCTCCACCATTGCCCAAAATCTAATGAGCATTGTCAAGGCAAAGGTGCGGGCATATGAATATGAAGAAGAAGTTCAATGAAGTAATGATGCGGAAACATAATCATAACGTTATACTTTATTTCCTGAAAGTTTGAAGAGAATCGGACTTAAACAGAATGTTTGGCGACCATTTTTGTGTGTCTATTTTTTTCTTTCAAATGCACTCTTTATATTGAATAAATAAATAAATCGACAGTGAGGATGCATAGGGGCGTAAATGCGATGATCGATTCTCTTCGTCGTTTTCTCTTTTCTTAACAACTCGCTAGATTTCACGTTTCTCGGTGCATTTTCTGTTGTTTTGATGACCAATACAGCCTGTTACAACTCTGCATTGAACAAATTCTAGAAAATTGTTTCGCTTAGCTGTAGCAATGCAGAGAGAAAATCGATTAAGAGAATCGATCATCGCGTATACGCCCTTATACATGCTCACTGTCGAAATAAAAGATACACCATTTCCCACTATTTAGAGGAATCCCTACACTGAGACAAAATAACATAAGAATTCTATAATAACCTATTATGAATTTTAGTCAACAGAAACCGATAAGAATATCATTGATTTGCCTTAAGACAACATTGCAAAAGCTGCTCTAGATATGTTAAATCGATTTGGAACAAAACAATTTCTAACATAACATGCATTTCAAATTTGTAAGGAGGCATTTGAAACTAAACCATAATTAGGAAAGCAAAGGAGGTAATCAATTGTCATTGTAAGTTTGCACGCGATATGGACAGAATTATTTTTGACATTGTCACTCGAAGAATATACTCTCACATAAGCCTTCGTCAAAAATTCATTCATTCATTTCCTTCGTCTGTTAGAAGATAGATTAACCTAGAATCTAAAATTTTTATTTCGTTCAATTTCTTTTACATTATTTTTATCTAGGCAGTTACGAACGTAGATTTTAGTTCACTTTGACGGCTCCATGGATTTATTTAGCTTTAATTAAGCCTAATTTCGTTACAAATTTAGATAATAACGAGAACTGCTCATGTTCGTCACTGAAAATTGAAATGAGTTCCCTTCAAGATGGTCTTTACTTCAATTGAATGACGAAAGCTGTTTAGTCAATATCGCCGTGTATGTTCGATATTTTGCCGCACTGCACCCAGGAATTGAATCTGTTGGCGAGCAGCCTGACTTGATTAACATGAATACAATCATCAGCTCATGCGTGAGATTTTTTAATGCTTGGACAAAAAACCCGTCATTAAATACTAAAACAAATCTATGACGTTTTGGTTCAGTGTGTCACATTTCAATCAAATTCTGTCGAGTGACGATTCAAATATGCTCTCCACTCTTAAGGGGGTCCTAGAATGTGTGACAGAACATGTAATAGGTATGGGAAAAGCGTGACACAGGGGGGAGGGGTGTAATACATTCTAAAAGCTTGGGTATGTTATACTTGAATCGCACCTGATTTGGATGCTTGACAACACTACACTACTTAATCAACTTCATTTTGTAGTGTTCTTTTTATATTACTGGTGCTATTATTCGGTTACCACGCGAATAAATACTAATATTCAAACATTAAGAAGACTCTCAATAAAAAAAAAA